TGGATGGGTAAACACCGGCATCAAAATTCAGGAAGCCCAGTGAGTAAAGTCAAATATTGCTAGATTCAAACATTGAACAATACAGAGCCGAATTGGCCGCCTTTGTGAAGGCTCAAGGCAGTCGTCCAAGTGCCGATCAGAAGCTGGAGATAATGAAACGTTGAGAGAAGCTGTCCAAGCGACTTGAAGAGTTTTCCGAGGCCAGTCAAGGCCATTTTCCCAACTTGGAAATTAATGAAGGAACTATTCATGATCCACCGCTCTCAGAGGATATTGTGGATGTCGATGACTGGAGCTATTGTGATGAAGAGGAAACCCCAGCACCGAGCATACCCAGTTTGCCTGATCAGGGATATGGATCGGCCGAACATCAACAAATCCTCTTACCATCCTCATTTCAAGCAGCCCTCCTCCCTACATCACTGGGAGAAGCCCGGTGTGTAGAGATAGAATTGAGAGTGGCCCAGGCAAATAACGCTCTGAAGCATTTACGGGAAGCCATCGGTTACAAGTCATTCCTTGATTGGAAGAGAATTCGAGCCAAGAAATCGAAAAAACGTGTAACTCGGGCTTACGATGCTGTACAAGGATCGGATCGCGATATGAAAAGTGCTCTCCAGGCATACAACCAAGCTCGATGGGCTCTTAATCAGCTCAATGCTCCTCAGGGCACTTGTGACCGATACAAGCCGATAGGGAAAAAAGATACAAGGGCACTAACTACGGTATACGATGGCAACGCCCAGGGTCAAAGAAATTAGTGTTTGGAAGTCCGGTCACAGGACTGGAAAAAAACCGTGACCAGACCGGACCGTGACTGATGAAGACCGCAAATTATGAGGACCGACAAAGACCGTAACCGCGGTTCGGTCTACGGTCCTCTATGAATTCCAAATTTTCAAGACCGGGCAAAAACCGGTTTAACCGGTTAAAGACCGGTCTTTTGAGCCTTCAAATTGTGGTGTGGCCAAGCTTACAACTTGGAATATATTTACCTCAAATTCTATGTTTTTGATAGGAACCTTTGATAATGCGTTGCCAAATAGTATACCGCTGCTGTCAATGAAAATTTAAATACACGGCAGTCTCAACTCTACCATGCCTATTACCACTCGAACTATTGCTAAAGGGATACCACCAAGACTCCATGATCCCAAGCCAAAGGGTAAGCCACGCGCGGGGAAGAGCAAGTCAAAATCAGCGACGACACAGGGCACCCGCAAAAGGGCAACAAGGGGCTCTGACGACGAGAGCGGCCCCGAACACGACGAATTTTCCTCAGCTAGCGACTCCGATTCACCACGCCGACCCAAGAAGAAAGGCGGAAAGCATCAGCGTATCGAGCTTTCAGGTTCAGACGAAGTGGAGGTGGCCGACAATGACGAACGGCCTGGTCAGGATGTTGAGGAAGTGGATGATGGTGTTGATGATGAGCAACCTGCTGATGAACAAGAGGTTAGCGTTATCACCTGATACAAGCTTCGTTGACTTACCATACCCTAGGATGACAGTCTCAATGACCACCAACGTGGAGCTGACCTCCAAGAAAAACCTGTAAAAAAGGAATCAATGCTCGACCTCCTCACTATAATGACTGACAGAGTCACCGTGAAGTTCAAGACAAGTGCCGACAAGTATGATACATTGGTAGGACGTTGGTGTACTGTTTGCAAGTAAGCCATTGCGCTACCATTCCACGGAGATGCTTACTTACCGACCAGGGGTGACGAGGCATTCGTCAAAACCTATGGGAAGCGCAAGGCCTTCCTTAAGGGAGGAAATTCTTCATGTCGTGCACATATCCGTCAGCATTACGATCTTTACAAGCAAAAATGCGAAAAAGAAAACATACCAATGAGCCATTGGGCCATACCTCGAGATATCTGGAAGACCATGGAGGAGGAGAAGGATGCAAAACAGAGAGGTTGGCTGACGAAGAAGCAGCAGCAACAGCTGTTAGACTTCAAGACCGTTACAGGACCGCGGGAGTTCACAAGGGAGGCAGCGCTCCATGCAGTCACGAAGCTGATTGCAACTAATAACCAAGTAAGTCATTCGTTGATGTTCTATTCAGATAAATGACGTGTTACGCACCTATAGCCACTTGCTCTGGCCGATAACCTTGCATTTCGAAATGCCTTGGTAGCGATGAGGCCGAAATCGACGACTAACGACCTTCCCAGTTCCTACGACGCCAAAATACACCTCCACAATGAATTTACCAAACACATGAAGTTGCTAAAGAAAGAAATAACCGTAAGAACTTCATTTTTCGATGCCTCGGATAATGCTGACGACTTACCTTAGGCAGCTCCTGGGAAAGTGTCGATAACTCAAGACGGATGGTCAGCCGATACGACGAAGGCGGGCTTTCAAGGAATGACTGCGCATTGGATTGCAGTGACGGATGGGAAGTGGAAGCTGAAATTGGCCGTTATTGGGTTCAAGGCGTTATCAGGTGGGCATAGCGGGGAGAACCTCGGAAGATATTCTGTAGGTCTGCTCGACCGTGTTGGGATTATGGACAAAACCGGAACAAAGGTTTGTCCTGTCGCTTGTCATCCTGTCGCTTGTCATTGACCCTGCTGATATTATTCTGATCAGCTATATACAGCAACATTGGATAACACGGGAAATAACAATACCACCTGCAAAACAATTGAGGATATTCACACCCGGCGAGGCCTCGAATGGAATAGTGATGAGCAACAGTTACCGTACATTTTGTTCATTCATTTCCATTCCCCTTGATTGAATTTTGTTGTCCATAGTTGCCTCGGACACGTTGTCAACCTTGGGAACATTGACGTGATGGGCCACATCACAAAGATTGCGGCTGTCGAAAATGCGACAGCCATCTGGGAATATGATCCCACCCGAGCTGACAATCGTGTTCTAGGCGGCTCCCTTGATGTGATTGCTGCGATCCGGACACTTGCAATCAAGGTAAGATTACTCGTCTCCCTGAAACTTCACACATTGTCTCATGAAATCTACGCTCAGATTCAAGCGTCTGGCCAGTGTATTGAATACTTTCACAGTACACAGATCCGTTGCGGAGTCCCTGAAGCTCTGAAGATACCATTACATAGTAATATTCGCTGGGGGACAGCATACAAAATGCTCGACCAGGCCAATAAACTGTGTCAGGTACGTATTACTATTACTATTTTTATTACATGTTCATCTTGTTGATACCTCATTGACAGCCAATCGGATTATTTGTTAGCTCAGCGGATGAGATGTATGGCCCGATTACGACGTTGCGGCGCAATAATCGTCTCCTGAAACACATACCCTGGTCTGCCTTCAAGATGGTCGAGTCAGATTGGGCAAGAGTAATCGATGCACGCGATATACTTGCGGTAACGTCATTTCATTTGGCTACAAGAGGGGATACTAACGAAATTCACTAGGATTCAAACCGGATTCAACAATATTTTTCTTCGGAACAGGAGCCAACCCTGTGGCGCGCACTTCCCGTGCTTGAGCAACTCCAATCGGCATGGGAGAAGAAGCAAGATAGCCCTAAACATGCGCTGTACAAGGACGCGCTCAACGATGGCCTCGAGAAGGTGGGTAAGTACTATTCCCACCTCGATGAAAAGCCCAGTTTTGTACTGGCTCTCGGTAAGGCTTTCCTTCCTCTCATGGCAAGACACATGTTAATAAACTATTTGAAGTGCTTCATCCTTATTACAAGCTTGCCTACATCAAGATGGCTTGGGGTGGTCCTGACGAACAAGCAGCGGAAATTGCGGCAGGAAACCCTGATGCAAAAGACTGGCAAGACGAGGCCAGAAAGATAGTGGAGAGAACCGTACGTCGCTCATTCTAGAATCTATTTACACAAAATTATTACGCTAACGTGTACTAAACTAGATGGCCAAATACTATAACGCTCGCCCCCGCACTACTCCCAATCAAAGAGGTACTGGAACCCAGGATGCCAATGATGACGACGTGTCAGAATTCGATAAACATCGTGAGACGCTTCTCACTGCCGACATGATAGAGGGCTGGGTAGCGGAGTTATGCCGCTATTTGAGTACAATGCAACGGGATGTGACCAAGAACACCGATCTCATTGAATGGTGGCAGGTAAGGAATTTCTTTAGAATCTTCTTCGTCACTCACGTCATTCTGTAGAACAATGCAACATTATACCCTACACTGGCACGTATCGCGCTCGACGTCCTCCCATCTCAAGCTTTGTCCGTTCCCTGTGAGTGTTTATTTTCGGGCAGCAAACAAATTGCGACAGACTGCCGCGCGTGCCTGGGTTCAAGAGTCTTTGAACAACTGGTGATAATGGGGTCTGCTTGGAGACCTGACCTGTATGATATGGCTGCGTGGACAGCTTTTCAGCAGGAGGAGGTTGAACCATTCCTTGAGTTTGAAGAGATGCTTGACGATGATAATGCCTCCTTGGTTTGGGATCAGGAGTTGGATACGGAAATGGTAGTCTAAATCAAGTCATGTATGCTAACCCCCTCGTACATTAAACCACATAGAATTTTGCTGCATTGCCCCTACAAAAAACCGGTCTAGATCAGTCACAAACCGAGGACTTTACACTCCCCCACATATTCCGGTTGGACTCCAGATGGACTCCGGCGGACTCCAGATGGATTACTGCTGTTCATCCAGTATTTTTTCTAATTTTTTCTTTGGTGGCAACCCAGCCAAATGTTAGTCTAGAATCCACCTGGACTCTATGGAAAGCAAGACTGATCTGCTCGGAATTCTCGGTTGCCGATTGATGGCCGCATATTTGCTAAGTAATATAATTGATTCATGGTATTTGTACCATAATTATGCAATCTGCAATGAAGAATTTCACGGAGCCATCGCCCAAGTCTTGCCGTCTAACATCCATCAAGTATTGGCACTGTCGGAACACATATCATTACTGGGTATCTTATTAATTTAAAGAATATCAGTAATTCTGCAATGTAATTACAGATTTAAATCAACTTATTTGATGTTCCCAAGATGTTTCAGGCTCAAATTGACAAAATACACCAACACTGAGGCACATTTGCACATACTTCCTTGAAGAAACATCACACAATGATCCTCCAACCAACCTCCAAGCATTAGCATCTTGAGTGCATGGCTATGTCAGTGCTAAAGTAGTTTTGCTGCATCCAATACACTACAATGCTTCCAGGTGCAACAAAGCCCACCCTATAGCCTCACACAGCTCTCAGATGACAGTAGACTAGCCTCCAATCATGGAATGGCATCTGGTGGCATCTCAGACCATGCAGGGATGGTTGTGCTTGTGAAAGCAGAGTAATTTTGTCACTGCCAAAGTCCCAAGATGAGTATGATTTTGTGCAAATTTTCATGCAGACTCATTGTGATCTTGCACNCTTTTGAATCAATTTGTGGCTGACTCAGAAAGAGGTATTCAGGAAATATTCAGAAAAGGATGTGAGGCTTCTCCCCACATAATTTTGAATAGACACACTCACAACTTCACATACTTTCTATTAGCAATGCCATCTTGCACATGATGTTGTGGTAACTAGTTTATCAAACAAACTGGGTGGATGGCATTAGTGCCGTTCACAGTTACTGTTTTTGAATCATTTTTCATCTCATTTCTCATCTCGTTTTTCTGAAAAATAGAATCAAAAACGGGCAAAGAAACACATCAAAAATGATCCCAAAAATGCCATTTTTCAAAAACAGCCATTGTGTCCATTTTTGATGTGTTTCTGTTTTTCATCCATTTTTCATCCATTTTTTGTGT